ATTCTTCCTGCCATGGGTGTGTCGGCGACGGACTGGCCTTCGACGAGATGGTGCATAGAAGTGCGCAACATGCCATCAACATGGAAATTGCGGTAGATGGCCCTACTGGGCATGGTGTAATCAGCGGGGTACGAAAGCTTCTCGCGCCCGGGACAATCGGTAAAGACAGACATGAGATTGCTGGCGAAAGAGGAGTGGGCCATTTTGTTGATGCGGCTAAGGCGAGCATTGGAGGAGGTGAAAGGACCGGCAATGGGAACATCGGCCTGCAGCCGAATGCCGGTGACCAGCTCTGGGCCGGGCTCGAAGCCCGAAGGTAGACCGGTCACTTGGACCCATTGCATGCCAAATTAGTTGAACCGGGGGTGCCACGTTTCGCCGCTGGCCCGACCAGCGGTAGTATAGGTGTTGAACAAATCACTGCCACGGGGCCCGGGGCCTAGACTTGCCTGGCTGACCGTTCCGTTGGCGTTGAGGCCCTCTGCAGGGGCAACCTTGATCGTGACGCCGGCGGGCAGCTCAGGGAGGTGATAAGGGGCCAGCCAACAATGTTCTGGCCAAAGTCGAACACTCAGATACCAGGGGCGGGGTTGGTGACCGAAACCGGGTTTGAAGCGTTCCTGTTCCTTGATTTGTGTCGGCGGGGACGGGCAACCAGTTTGGTGGCGAGGTTGGGAGGAGGTGCGATGCCAGCCGATGTCCAAGTTGACGACTTGAGATCGGTTCCTGGCTCGTCCCAGCCAAGTTGTTCTCGACGAGCATCGTAGTCGGAACCAGAGTACCACGCGTCGGTAACAAGGGGACCGAGGGCTGTGCGCCAGGAGCGATCGGTAACAATAATGGTGGAGCTCCCATTGTCAAACATGATTTCCAAACGAGCAATGAAGCGCGGTGTGACGGCAGCGCCGGCCGAGGGGTCGCTCGCCGCGATGTTGTTGCCCGAGCCGGTAACCTTGGCACCCGCCTTGTGCGATTGCTCGAGTGCGGGAGTGAAAGAAATGACGGAGGTGCCGTTGTCAATGGCCGTGATGACACGCGACTCAAGCCAGTCACCACCGTCGCTGGTATCAATATGGATTGAACCACCAATGTTGTACCTAGCGACAGAACTCAATCGAACATTGCTGCTTCCCGTTGTGACATTGGCAGAAAGAGTGCCGTTGCCCATGAGTTGACTTTCCCACCAAGAATAAGGGGCGTTGCGTCCAACGGCAGGGTTTCGAACATTGCACCGAACGTAAGCCGGTCCGTTGCCCAAGCTGACACCGACAGCATTGGGGCCGGACCTAGAGCGTTGGTGACATCGTAGGTGCGGTATTCACTGGAGAGTTGGTAGTTGGAGTAGCCAGGGGCCAGTACCTCGTCCGTGGCATCCTCGCCATTGACGGTAGCGTGGTGCATGCCAACTCCTGAGATGTACAGACGGGCATCAGCAACGACTTTGCCGCTGGAAATGTCGAAGTGGCGAACAAAGAGCGGCAGTGGCTGGCTACCATTGCGGTCAGGATAGTCGATCCAACGGGCTTGGCCCCAGTCAAATTGATCGAGCAGGCCGAGGGTCCACGTAGACGGCCTTGACCAGCCCGAGGGTTGCCCAAGAGCATCCCAGACCTTGACACGCCAGGCGACTGTATCGCGGGAGGTGAGGCTGATGCCAAACCGCGCATTTTGCTCGTTGCCTTCAGTCTTCCCACTCTTCCAGATGAAGCGGCCGGCCCGTAGGTCGTCAGCAGTGGCGGCCGCCTGTATCTCGTAGGCGGTTTGTCGGTCGCCCGGGCATGTCTCATCAGACTCGGGACAGTCTTGAGTTGGTATCATCTGCCATGCGAGGGTAGGGGAGGATGCCTTGGTTGCATGTTCCAGCTTCTTGATGGGCAACGAGTGGCGGGGTTGAGCATGTCCCCGGACTATGGCAGTGACTTGGGGCGATCCACCCCGCAAGGAGGTGACATTGTATCTTCTTCCGGAGTAATTGGGTGATATGGTGTGAGGGTTGTGTTTGTCTGTCTAGAGCGAGGCGCCATGTATTTCTCCGACACGAGATTCTGCATAGAGACGTAGAGGGGTCGCCGGTGGCCCAGAGAGGAGTTGAAAGGGTATTTCATCTCGTATCTAAAAATATCAACAGGCAGAGATTAGGTCCACCGTTTTTTTGGATGAAAAAAGGGATCTGAAAGTAAAACTGGTACGCAACAATGGTGATGGTGATGGTGATGGCCGTGGTTGGACTCGGACTTTTGACTTTTGGCTGCAGTGTCTTGGACGCAGCACGGAAGTGACATGAGTCAGGGCAGGTGCTTCCCAGTGGAATGAGGAAGGATGACGACTCATTCGGTCTTTCCCCATTTCTTATCGGCATCTGCCATCTGCGATCGCCCGGCACGACAGCACGTGACGTGATTCCCCGGATGCCAAGGGCGGCACACCGAAGCTCACCGTCCAAGTTCGGCGTCGTTCGGCAGCGAACCTCGGCATCTACGGGTCCACCCTCACTTCTACCGGCCGTCGTCGTAGCTTCTTCAACACCACTGCAAAGCATTTGCATTGGCCGGTTACATCTGCTCGTGCTCTGTCTCTCATTGTTGGTCAATTCGTTCTGATCTCATAATATCCCGCGCTCGCCTGCGTCAGGAAGCTACTACCCAGGCCCCAAACGCGAGGCACCGGGTTGTATATTCTCATCAAGCTACCTATACCTTACTCATTGTCACCTCACTCGTCATCTCCCTCCATGTCGTTCCCCTTTACTATCACCGAGCAGATACTGCCTGGTGCCTACATTCGCGAATTCCCCCACGCTCTGAGCACCTCCCAGGAGTCGACCCTTCGTCTGGCCGTCAAGATCTACACACCAAAGGACAACACCTCTCCGCAGCCTGGTGATGTGACCCTGATCGCAGCCCACGCCAACGGCTTTCCCAAGGAGCTCTATGAGGCCATGTGGGCCGACCTTCATGCAGAGGCGGCCAAGGCCAACCCCCCCTTCCGCATCCGCCAGATCATCGCCGTGGACGCCGCCTGGCAGAATGCCTCGGCGCCTCTGAACGAGCACCTGCTCGGCAACGACCCGGGCTGGCTGGACTATCCCCGCGACATGCTGCACATACTCAACACGCTGCGTCCTCCACAGCCTCTCGTCGGCGTCGGCCACTCCTTTGGCGGCAACGCCATTGCCAACCTGGCCCTGCTGCACCCGCGCCTGCTCTCGACCGTCATCCTCCTCGACCCCGTCATCTCGCGCTGGTCCTCCAACGCCACAAGCGACGTCTCCCGCTCGCCGGCCGCCATGTCCATCGGCCGCCGCGACCTCTGGCCCTCGCGCGACGCCGCCCGCGCCGCCTTCGCCAAGTCCCCCTTCTACCGCGCCTGGGACCCGCGCGTGCTCGACGCCTGGCTCGCCCACGGCCTCCGCGACACGCCGACGCCGCTCTACCCCGAGCCCGGCCACGTCACCCTCGCGACGACCCGCCACCAGGAGGTCTTCACCTACTTCCGCCCGAGCTGGGACGCCTACGCCGCCGACGGCACGACGCTCGTGCGCCGCGACCTCGTCCCCGACCTCGACCCTGCCCTCAGCAAGGGCTTCGTCACCTACCCCGTCTACCGCGCCGAGGGCGCCAACACGCTCGTGCGCCTGCCCAGCCTGCGGCCCGGGCTGCCTCTACCTCTTCGGCGGCACGAGCGACCTCTCGCTGCCCGAGCTGCGCGACGA